CTTACATGTTAGTGGAAACATCAGTGATGATTGAGAACAAAAACAGCATTCTTATAACGTCACACTGGAACAATACAATATATTAATGTATCGTGACGCTTGATTAAAATGCTGTTTGGTCATTCTGTCACCCACGGGCTGGAGACAGAGTTGGATATAAGTAATTCCATTTAAAACGTCAGGACTTACATAATTTAAATGCTTTCATATTATCGTATATTATGGTTATAAGTCTTAATTCTTCATCACGTTCACTTGTTTTGACATAGTCTGAGTGTTTTTCTTGCTGCTGACTACTACTAGTTTAATAAATAGTAATTAAGTCATTTCATGGTCACCTCTGCATTTTTTTGGGTCTATTTAGGATAACCTTATTTTAAAAAAAACAAATGATTTTATTTCATTTAGAATATATATAGTCATCTAATCAACTATATGCTTGACCTATACTAATACATATAATTATAATATTTTAAAGCATTATAATGTATTTGTTTGCGAAAGTATTTTGTTTCTTATTGCTCTTTTATGAAAAATGTTTAATAAAAACATTTAAAATCAACCAGGGAATAACATTGATCAACACAATTTTACTTTCACTATTGCTGTAAACTGATGTCCTTGCTTGATCGTTGATGTGTTAGCACTGAACTAAGATTGCGTTACACTATGGACAGTGTGGGGAAGGAGTGTCAAGATTTAAAACGTAAATATGATGAATGTTTTAACAAGTGGTTTGCGGAAAAGTTCTTAAAAGGTGTAACCGAGGACCCATGCACAAAGTTGTTTAACGTTTATCAAGAGTGTGTTAAGGTTAGTCTGTTTAGCCAAGTTAGACTGTTACATTATTAAATTATTAGTATTAGTATTAGGCTAACATTAACCATTAACAAATTTCATTTTATATTAACTTCTTCTCCTCTTTTATATGTCGAGGCTGAGGGCCCACGATCCCAATCAGCCATTGTCAGAATCAATAGTATTGTTCATTCTGGCTCTCATTTTTGTAGATAGTGATAGTGGTTTCGTGACGTTTCTAATTTCTATGCATAATAATTTTAAATAATAATAATAGTTTTGAAGTGGACACTTCACTAGTTGCAAGGGCTACTTAGCAAGCAATGGTAATAATTAGAAACTGGGGGTTGGAAGGCAGGAGTAGGCAAAATATGCAAATGTATTTATTTATATTTATTTATTTAGGCATTTTTATATAGCGCTTATCATAAAGTCATAAAGCTCTAAGCGCTTTACAATTATTAAAACATGTGAACTAAGTAAAATAAAAATGAGACACTAGGATAGTAACTACTATTCTATAGAAACAATGAAAATGGCTATAAAACGAGGACACTTTGACACTTCAGGATCAACCCGAAACAGAAAATGAGGTAGGTTGATCGTGGTATCAAGGCAGATGGTGGAGAGGTTGATTGCGGTATCAAATGTATCAAATGTTGGCCTCAAATTTTCTTTTGGAAGCTTGTTCCAGTCCCTGATTGTCTTTGGCAGGAATGTACTGTGTTCTTGCTGTTATGAGCTGGAACTGCCTGTCATGGCCTTGTCAATTAACAATGTCGAGGGGGGAGAGGGAGAGTTTCTGTTTAATGCTGGAGCAGTGGATCAGCCCATTTTTTATCTTTATAACAATCATAATATATAATAAGAATAAGTTCGTTAACATTTAAGCATTGCTCCACTAGTAAATTTAAGTAAGTAACCCAAGCTTTCAATGTATTCAACAAAATAATAAAGAAAGCAGCTTGCATGTTTCTTCGTAAGATAATCAATAGGCCCCGGCCAATGCAAACTTATGCTCTATGATTCACTGTCACTTATTTTTATGGTTAGGCCTGTCTGTGGTTTATGTATCTTTAAATTTAATTAGTCTTTCTTGGTTAATAAATTCACAAATACAAAGTTTTAAACTTTTGTCACAGTAGTGATCACTGCACAAATAGATGTCAGGCTGAAAGTAACTGCTGTTAAGCTTGCCGTTCCTTGGGGGAGTTGGGGGGGTGTGTTGTATTTACTGTGCTGTTGCATGCATGTGAGTACAAAAAGTAAACAAAGGTTCTGATAACTTTGAATGGGAAAATCTGTTAAAAAATCATGTACTCTACCATTAACCATCAAAAACATCCATAATTATAAAAACAGGTACAAAGTAGGGAAAAAAGTATCACTTGGCATGCATGCACTTGATCTACTTTAAAAAAAGAGAATTCAAAATATGGACATTAATTTCATTGCCCTAAGGATAGTTATGAGTAATAAAAGTTGTATCTGCTGCAATTGCAATTATCATTGAATGGACTATTTATTTTTAAAAAACATTTCTAGTAACTTAAAGACATATTTTGTTTTTCTCTATAGAATGTTTGAAAATAAATTCAACTTTTCTTGATATCGATTCACAGAAAGCAATTAAGGAGAAAAATCTCAACCTTGATGCAATAGAGGAGCAAGTACTAGGGACATCTAAAGAGAAGCAACCACCTTCAAAGTGATTCAGTTAAAGTTGGAGTCTTACTTGGTTTTTGTTAATCTCTTTAACTTATTTCTGAAATTTGATTTAGATCTGTGTTCAAAAAAAAAAAAATTCTTTAGTTTATTTCAGTTTTGTCAATGTGAGTTTTCAAGAAACTTTCATAACGATCAGGTTGTCAAAATTATTAAGCATTGGGGATCCATATAAACTAAAAATAGAGAAGAAAAAAAAAAAGACCACCAAGTTAATATATGCAACTGAATTTAATATAAATAGTATTAAAAGATAAAATTCCCATTTAAAAGAAATAAGTATTTATTTTTTAAGGAGTTATCAAGTAATATATCAATTTATGTTAAAGAAATTTTTGCTCTTACTCATAATAATCATGTGAAATATATATGGACCAAACTTGAGAACAGATTGATAACTGTACAAAATATTTCATACCATTACCAGTAAGGCATATATATTAATGTAATTCCTCTACACTCATTTTCATCTAAAAATTTTGATGTCATACTTCCATTAATAAATAACATGCTGTGCTAAATGTTGAATATCATTATGTATATAAAGAACACTCATGCTTTTTTTATTCTATATTGAACATTGAAAATAAATTAGAATTTGTTGAACTTGAACCAATGATATTTACATTTCTTGTCAAGTCTCAACTAGTAGTATTAGCTAAAGAATTTTTTTTTTTTCAAATGTGACTTGTTTTAATCAGGACTGTGAGAAAATTAAACAAAGCTCGTAAACTTGTACATTTATAATAAAATGAGTTATTAAAACAGGTTTAGAGATGACTGCAACCAGTTGGACTTTCCAACAAAAAAAAAACAACAAACTAAAACAATATGAATAAATGATATTTATTTTGAATTTGAACCTTACATCAATTACACAAAAATATCAATTTTAACTGATGACAAGTTCAAGGTTATTATAATTTTTTTTTGAGGCAATAACAAAACAGTATTATTATTTATCTTCATGCTGGTGTGCAAAAAATAATTTATGGAACATTTTATCAGCCAAGAACATTAATGAAAAAAAAAATATTAATGACTGCGCTACTGGTACTCATTTACATCTAAAATTCTTTTTAAAAACACAAAAATAATTGACTTTCCTTTTCACCAAGCAAGGAATGAAACATATATGAGATTCATTCATACCTTTTAAAAATGAAATCTGTCCTCTAAAAGATACCATATCTATATTAACATGCCAAAAATTTCTGATAAGAGGATACAAAATTATTATTAAATGCATTTTTCAAATATTTCCATAGCAATCAAATACCAGTAGTTCAGTTTTTGACAAAACAAAAGTAAACAACTCTGCTCTGAGTACTGAAAGTGTAAGAATAAAATAAATGAATGGATTATCCTCCAAATGTTATACAAAATTATTATCATTATAAAGAAAATCTGTCATTCCTTTAAATTCAAGCAAGGGTTCATCCAAAAATGACATCATCATGCTATTCTAGTTTTTTAAAATCACCCTCACTATTGTCATAAATCATCTTAGATGCCCTCATCACACATCTCAAAAATATGTGAACCTCTACCCAAATATGCGCGAGGTTGATTAAGGATAAACCCCAAGTGTTAATCAATAAATTATCATTCTCAGCATTCATTCAGTTAGCATTGAATCAGAAAGCAACACATGACTTCACTGGCCTTTTCAAACACTACATAACTTGTATGGATCTATAATAATTTACTTTCTTTCAAATCATACGTCAACTTAACCAATTATTTCAGCACAGACTCTAACTGGTTAAGATTAAGTGATTATAAAATGTGATCTTGTTGCTACATTTTAGTACATGGTATAAACAAACATTAAAAAGTGTTAAAGACATGATCTCTTCAAATTCAAAAGGAACAAAGTAAAAACTAATTACAGATGTGTTTTACTTCCAGTCCTGCCATCATGAAAGCCATGTTGGAAGGACTAACATAAAACACCTGAGCTAAATGACCAAAAATATTTGGAATAACCTCAAGCAAAGGTAACAATAGGTCATTTTTACACTTCTGCTGAATAACAAGTGTACATGCATCAAAACTCCTTTTAACAATACGCCATGTTCTTTTGTTCTATTTCTAATATTTGAGCTGACTGAATATTCACGCAGGGCAAACATTCATTCTGAGATTACCTCTTATGCTGTCCAATTGATATTATTCATTCTTCATATTTTTAAAAAGCTAAACAATAATTGAAAGTCATATGTTTAATACTGTTTAGCTTTTTTTTTTTGGTTCGACACATGTTAAGATATACATTAAATGATTTTTTTTTTAAAAAGGAGAGTTGACAATTTGAAATAGAAAAAAGGTTTTGTAATCCTTTATAAATATTTTTTTTCTTCAGTGAGCATTTACAATATGCCCCAAAAACCACAGTACTGAAACGTGTACATGCGTTTGTCAACGGTGCATAGCTTCAGCTGCCACACACTTCCCGCAGTGTTAAGGATGTTGCTCTGGGCAGTTGTTGATGGAAATGGTTTTCTCTACAGAGGAAAAAAATTCATATTTGAACCCTATTTACACTCTGACCTAAAGAATTAAGTGATTGAAATATCCTCAACACCAGGCACAGAAACGTTGCAAATCCCCTCTACATACATAGTAGCCAAAATGATCGATAAATTGATCGTGGGCCCTTAATATATAGAAGAGAAGAAGATTGTGATGGGGTACCATGTTTGGGAAAAAGGGTGGCAGAACAACTTAAAGGGAGATTTAATAAGACCAAAAACCACAATAATGGTTACGAAATAGCATCATTGTGGAAGTTTTTTGTGTCATCGAAAGAGGAAGTCTTCATTCACCCCTAAAAAATCTACAAGGAACATCTTTCAGATTGAACATCAGCATACATACGTATGATTGAGAACATAGGTTCATTTTTCGCTCTGCATTCAGGTTGGACAATGCTTGAGAGAGCCAGATCTGTCAGACAGGATAATGTATCATGGATTTTTCTGGCTATGGTGTACAAGGATCCAGTTTTTGAAAGGGCTGCATGATTCTCTGAAGAAAGTCACATAAACTTCTGTTTGACTGATTACCTTTCCAGAACCCTGCTACTTGGTGCAGTCTTTTTTAAACAATCTCTTTCAGAATTTTCTCCCCATAATTTCTTTAAACACTGTCTCCATTTACGCTCATTGCAGTAAGTAGGAGCAAAAATATTGCTCAATTATGAATATTTTTTCCTCTGCAGAGAGACCCATTTCCAACAACAACATATAAACGTTAAGTGATGATCATTAGGCGGCTGGAACTATGCACAGCTGAAAAATGCAAGAACGCCTTCATGATGCAAGAGTTTTAGTACTGCTAGTTTTGGTGCATGCTGTATTTACATAATAAACACTTATGACAATTATTTTTCACAATTTACAGCACAAGCCTAGACATGAATCATTCTTTCATAGACAACCTTGCAAAATATAATTCATAAAATCTTGATAAGATATAAACAAGACAATGTCTTTCATCAAGGGATGTAGTATATTGTCCATTTGTACCAATTATATTTAATCTCTGGGCACAGCACTTTTGAGTAATTTTAAAATACCTTATTGTTAGTTTATGTTTATTACAACAGCGAGAACTTTCTCTTAAGGGTCAACACTTCTTAGTAGAGACTTGTGCTTTATAATTTATAATACAAAACAACTTTATGCAATGGCAACTACCTGCTATTTAAAGACAGATCCATTAAAATGTTATTATTTCCGGCGAAGGGCCCTGTCCAACTTATCATCCTCGTCGTCACTGTGGTAGCCACTGCCATGATCACGGTAGCCCCTGGTAGCCTGCATCAACTCAGCATCAGGCCCCTTTCCTCTGTGTTCATACAACAGAACATTTAGTGTTTCTTCAAATATTCTGGCTTCTGGAAACTCCACCTGAGGATGCAACACATCTCCTACATTTGAATGGTTGACAATAATTATAAATTAACCAAAATTCTAATCCAAATTATTTTAAACATTGAGGTGTGACTAGGGAATGCAAATTCAGACACAATCTGATAGATAATCTGAATTGAAATCTCTATAGCTTTAACAGTATAACGTCTTCTTTCAAAAAAAAAATATTAAATAATTTTTAGTGTTAAAATTCCACTTAGTTTTCTTTACATTTTGTCCAAAATTCACGATTGAGAAAAGATTCAAATAATTTCTCAATTTCTGAAACAGAGGTCCAAAACACCTGTGACTTTTTCTATAAAAAGAATTAATTTAAAGCAATGATTGCTTAAAAAATATTTTTTGAAAAGCTGTAAAGGATTAAATCTTCAAACTCACTTTTGTATGTTTTTTGTCTGTACCATACACTATGGAGGTGCAGCAGACCTCTCCAATCTTTTGTCCATGACCATAAAATGACCAGCAGCAGATTTCATTACTTCCTATCACATCTTTGATGAAGAGAACACGACCATTAAACCTTAGGCACAACTTGTCAAAAAGCTCCATGTTTTTCAAAAGATTATCGTCTGACATGCTGTGGGATCAAAGAATAATTGTATCAACTTTTTTTTATAATTAACTCTGAAATAATAAAACCATTTTATACATCAAATTAACTGTGTACAACAAAGTTCCTATAAATTTTTAATTTTCTTGAAATAACAATGGAAAAAAGCTACAAACAAATTTTAAGAAAAAGACGATTGTCACTCATTATTTCATCAAATGTAATAGTTTAACAACAAATATCCTTTTATTTCTAGTTCTCATTTCATTATTCAATGTTGAAAAATGTATCATACTTATTTTGAATGCTAACAAACTCTTTAAAAAAAAAAAAAATTCAAGGTATTTTAAAGTAATTTACATTTCTTATGTATGGGTGCTTGTTAGATTAAATTAAACCGACCTTGTGTATGAATACTTGTTGTTGTGCCGATTGCAGATCAATTTGACAACTGGCTGTAAGTAAAAATTATTTGAAAAATGTACCTTAACCACATTGTTAGTAGTAGCTGTTAATACTTAAAGGAAAATAAAACAATCCAACAACAATGCATTTAATTCTATATTTTTTAAATTTATCATTGGGGCATTCTGTTGGACCAATCTCTCAAAAGCTGTACTGTACTTCTAATAATAATAATAATAATAATAAGTGGTCTTATATAGCGCGGTACCCAATCTACATTGTTACTGCTATATTTCTGCTGAAATATATTGTTAGCAGTCCTGTTTTACAAAAAACATTGTCTAAAAATAGTACATTACAAAGTACGCTGTGACATTTCAAATCCTGAGTAACGAAAAACCCTAAAGAACAGACAGATAGTTTTTATGCTTAGCTTACTGCAATGTTACATTAAGAAATGGCGTCAGCGGGCCGTCGAGCTTGCGCTCTTTATGCCCTCCCCAAAACACCCCTCCCAAACTCGGTATCTGGGGGATGTCCCTTTATCAGGACAGCCCCCACCCGAGTCTGCTCGACCAAGGTCTCCGCAGAGGGTCGTCCTAACCCAAAGACACCCGGTCGGTCCGACAATCGACTTTCTCAGGAGTCAGGATGGAAAAATTTACGTCCTAATATCTTCCCTAATCCATCCCGGGAAAGCGTTACACTCCCATTAAGAGGGATTCTACAGTGGGTTTCCACAGCGCAACTAATTCGCGATGTAGCTGGGACGAAAAGGTTGCCTTGGAGCAGCTTCTGAGGGCTGCGTAGTAAGAATCATCGGCCAGAGGTTACCACCTCATATCCATTAACGGCAACTTTTAATCATGATCCCTACCCTGTCTCTGTCTATTTTTCCAGTTGGGAAGTATCACAACTGGCAGCCCTATTGGAGCTGTTTTATGTACGGCAGGTACGAGCACATCCCTTGTCAGCCCACGCAGGACGCGCACAGTAGTTGTGTTCCCCGGTTAACGCTAAGGGGGGTCGGTGGCCGACGCCTCCTAATCGACAAGCCATCACAGACTTGTCAACCGGAGAACCGGGGGCATGCTTATTTTACTCAAATTATCAAAAATGTAAAAAGAGAAGATTTTACCTTGGACGTTTTAGAAACCAACATTTGTTCCTCTCTTTGTGATGTGATCAGTGGAACCTGGCAGATAGGTTCTGGATCATGTATGTTCATGGCTGTATCAATTTGCCTGACTGTAAACAAAACATGTTGCAACAGATCATATTTAATATAAATACATTTTTTTAAAAAAACATTTTCACATATATAATTAGTACCTTGTGTTCATAGTTTTGACTAATCAAATCAAAAGGGATGTAAATAATATGTATATATACAAATCTGCAAACAGTGCTTCTCAAATCAGCTTATGTTTGTGATCCTAATCCTAAACATAAATAAGATGCATGCAAGATGAATGATTCAAAAAAGGTGATAAGTTGAATTTACAGGGAAAAAAGAATGACCAAATATACTGTGGACAGAAAAAAATAAAGCATGCAATTGAAATAAAGGATGATATATGAAGGACTGCGGTCAAGATGTGTGAATAAAATATGAAATAGTGGAGCAAGGTATGTGGAAGCTTGAAATATAAAGACAGGACAATAAAAGAATAATGTTGAATTATTATTTTTTTTTTGGCCAGCTGTTAGAAACTGAGAAATTTTCGATGTTACATATATACAACCCCATTGTTTCTATCAAAACTTCATTAAATTCTATGTATGAATTTACATAAGTTTAAAAAATGAGGCCACGGACAGAAAAAAATTGTAGTTTTAAGATTTTAACCATTGCTTAAGTTCTTGTAACTTACCCAGTTCTTGGACACAGTAGTATTTGGCTTCCTGGAGTAATTCATCAAGTTCTCGCCTTGAGTCTGGCAAAGTGATTGAACCATCTCTCAAGAAAGACAATATGGATCCAAAATGTTTACCACACCTGTCAATGAGGACCCATCCTAAACAAACACAATAGAAAAAAAAAAGATATATTAACATTAGGAAAGCTATAAAAAATAAAAATGTGTAAAAATTGCTAACATAGTTCCAAAAAGACATTAAGGTCCAAAAGTCAAAAACTCCCAAATTCAAATTCCCATACCTTTAATGGGCTTTTTTAAAAAAAATAAATAAATTCGAAGATCTATTAATTATCACATTCTAAGGAGAAAAAAACCAAATTAACTCGCCTAATTATAGATACAAAATTCTTTATCAAACTAAAACAGTATATAAAAAATATTCGCAATACCCAGCTAATCTTAGTAAATGAATGAAATAGCGAAACCAGGTATGTGGAAGCTTGGCTGAGAAAGGCTTTATGCCAAAACGTCCTTGTTTTTTGTCCTGTTATCTTATTTCAAGTTTCCACATACATCGTTTCGTTATTCATTCATTTACTAAGCTTGAAAGAAGTCCTTTCATTTATATTATCTTTGTAAAGAGAGATCGTTTCGTTTTTGTAAACATAACACAAAACTATGAACAATGATATATATGCATTTGATTCATCTTAGTGCTCAAAAGTAACTTGTTGACTGAATTAATAGCTGGACTAATGAGGAAATGTCCTAGACAAAACATTTTTAGAAAGTCCTGAATACCAGTGGCATTGAACACTATTTTGAAAAAAACATTTAAGTAGTGTTCGTCCCAGGTATTTTAAAAAAATACTATGGCATTTTAAATTTATTCTGTAATAATAGCTGGGGTAAAAGGTGCTTACAATATTTAAGAACATTTGTATAAATCCAATGAAGGAAATACATTTTTAAATGACCCGGTGTTAAATACAATTGAAAAAAAATCGTATGACAAATTCTGCATACCTTCAACATCATGCAGCACATCCATTCTCCCACTGAACATAGCCCTCAGCATTGTATCTTGCTTACACAGTGTGTCAATGGTGGTCAGGTGGAGCGTGCCTCCAACGTTAATTTTGACATATTTAGAATCCGACTGAGATGCTACTGCGCACGTGGCCATGGCCGGGTTGGCTGAAGCTCCTGACATTATAAGAACTGAACTGAAGCTTTCAATCCAGTAAGGATTGGAGTTATCAATGATGGCGTGTGTAACTTATAAATAATGGAGGTAATGAGTGTCACCACAAGGGATTCCTGTTTGTACACAAGTCTAGAGGACTGATTGTTAATGTGAGCAGAGTTGGCTTTAAAAGTAGTAATACTGAAGTCCCACAAGGCTTAACCGAACCTTCATGATGAATAATTTCACGCTCAGCTTCAAACTGAAGGTCAGATTCAAATATGATTTTTTGTTTCAACAAGTCTGGAAGACAATCAGTCACACTGGGGTGAGAAATAAATGTAAAAAATTGTTACTAATTAGAAAGAAGGGAGAACATTCATATAATATAAGATAAACAATGAAAAAATATTACTACTTTGGTTTCTCTTTTACCAGCTGTTTATTTATACAAGCATGCTCCATGGTAGACAATAGCTGATTGAAAACTGGTGACTGTATCAAAATGGAACAGGATGTCAGTTCTAAAAGCAGATGAACTTTCTACAGCCACTTACAACTATGCTCTTATAAAATAATAAATATCATTTTAACAGTTAAACAACTTTGGAATGTGTATTTATAAAAACTGTTAAATCTGTTTAAAATAAGTTCTTAGAAGGAGAAAAAAATCACTATCCCTTATCATATTAACCACATAAAGGGTTAACATGCTCAACTTAAAAGGCAAATTCCCTAAACATGACCCATTCAACATTCTGAAGTTTTTGTTTTTATTAGGGCTATGGCTATTGATATAATTTTTTTTCATTTAGGCTACTGACTTTAAAAAAAAAATAATAAAATATCTTGTTGGCAAGAGAAAAAGTGAATCATTAGTTAATTGCAAATTCTGATACTCACTGATAGCCTAATCCTTAAGAATAAAATTTTACAAGTTAAATGGGCTATGACCCTTACTTATTATTTTTCACAACATTGATTAGCACTAACCCTAATGAGAAGGTAGGGACTAACTTGAATCACTAATGTTTTATTAAATGTAACTGTTTTTTTTATCCAGTTACATTCATTCACATTGGGCTTATTTTAAAATTAAATATTAGGATTATCTTATGGCCCAAGTCGAAGCCAAATGTATGACAAGGAGTTTACTTTAGGCCTATTAAAATGAGGTGGTATTTCAAACAGAGACACACGAAGAGTCATGATTGATAACGATACAACTCGGCACTACTGGCTACTTACTACTCTAGTCTTAGCCTCTTGGTGAAGGTGGTCTACTAACTTATTTGATATCATTAGGTCTAGGGCAGTAAGAGACCTAGCTTACTACTGCATAGCTTACAGAACCAACTTACTTCTATGCTAAGAATAAAATTGAAATCTAATTTCTATTCTAGAGATTAAATTTAACTTTTAGTTACTCTACTAGGTTAGTTCATTAGTAGATTGGTAGTCTACTTCAGTGTCAGTTATTAAAAAAATTAAGTTATTTAAACCATTATTCTTTTATTGATGTCCGTTTATACTACAGTGAAGAGGGCCACTGGGTTTTCGCTGGCATAAAAAGAGAGAATGGGCGCAGTTTTCTCATTGAAATGCTAGACTGAGGTGTGATCACGTTACAGCAGTTCATTGAGAAATATAATCTTCCAGCCTCACTTATGGTATCGGACGGATAGGCAGCTTATGCAAACATAAAACAGATCAGACAAAACTCTACAAACACTCTGTTGTGGCTCATCAACAAAATTTTGTCCTTTATATATATGTACTGAAATGAATTTGAAGATTATTACTATTACTATGTACTATGTCCAAATGTCATTAAATTCCCATTATTTTGATCAATAATTTTATCTTATCTGTAAAAGAATAACCATTTAAATAGTTATTCCCCCGTTTATATAATTATGTAGTTATTCCCCAGTTTAAATAGTTAGGCTATTCTCTGCTCAAGTCTTCAAGTTAAAGTGGTAATTTACCAGTAGTTATCGAGTAGTTCAGCTACATTAATTAATATTAATATAACCGGGCAATCTACTTACTACATACACTTCTCTTACTAACACTGAGAACTGAGTAAGTTAGCAATAGGGCTTGTCATTTAATGGCGGAAATCTATTAATAGAACTGATGTCACCATTACTGATCATCCGGGTACTCAGAGCGGACAAAATGTCAACACTGTTCAGTATTACTATGTTAGCGAAGTGTCCCTGAAACTTGTTTACAACTCTATTTTACGAAATATTTTACACATTTTTTTTTTTACTTCTGTTTTCTCAAATGCGACTTCATTGCGTGAACGTCATATGTAACAGTAACTCTAGATACAAGGATCGCCCGAACGATATGCTGAAACACACTATAAGCTGCCATGTTTTAAGCAATATTTGTCCGCGGACCTTCTAAAAATAGTACGCTATGACGTTTTCCGGTCTTAGAAATGACAAAGCCTATAAGCAACACTTTTACTTTTAGTAGTTTTAGTCATGTTCATAGGCATAATTAATAATACTACTATAAATGTTATTATTATTATTAATTAAACTAATTATACTATAATATTATTAATACTAATTATTAGATTAAGTAACAGTAAGTCTGAATAAGTAATGTAAGAATTAGACTAAGAGTATGTTCATTTTAACTCCGTAAGTTCATGTTGAGTAGTAATAAGTTTAAGTACTGGTAGTGTAAGTGTAAGTAAAAGTACGGTAAAAGTGGAGTTCAGGTGCGTATATTATTTCTGCTCGAATTTCTTATTTTCTCTCGTGTAAACTTATGTTAGTTCTTTATAAAATGTATTTTAAAAGTAAAATACCATCTTTTTATTGGAATACAACAATTAAACAAATTTTACGAGATAAAAAAAGTTCATTTTGATGACTCTTTTGCCTTTTACGGAGCCATTGTAGTAAATCAAGGATAACTCCTCTGTCTTTAAAGATACGTTATAAAAGTTGCTCAATTGGATGTGTCTGGGTTAAAATATATGTTGTATTTATTTTATAACTTCAATATCAAATATAACCGGAGTTGCCCGGGATTGCATTCAGAAAAAAACATCTGCTACTTTCTTTTAATTCACATTGCTATTTAAGCGAAATGTCGACAACAAAACACCACTATAGTAAAAAAAAAATTATAATAATTAATTTGTCTCCTATAAAAACACTTAAAATAACTTATGTCGGTTATGTAAACCTTTCATTTTTCCCGTTTTCCGATGGCACCCCATTTTCTGGAAGGATCATGATGGGATCCAGATTCCGGTAGAATCCCGGTCATGGTAGAATCCCGGTCATGGTAGGATCCCGATCCCGGTAAGATCCAAATCTCTGTGAGATCCAGTTTCCGGTGGTATCCCAATCCAAATGAGATCCCAATCCTGTGGGATCCCTATCCTGGTGGGATACCGATTCCGGTGGGATCCCGTTTCTGGTGAGATCCAGATCTTGGTAGTTGAAGGGAACTCTCACACTAGACACACGTAGCCAGTTTACAAGCCACATTGCAATTGTTATGAGTGCCTTACGAATTCAATAGTGGTATTAACATTATATGTTGCCTCACAAAGTTCGCGTGTAAACCAAATGCTGCACCATTTAAAATTTCCGTTTGATGAAAAATTTCAATTATCGTTTCTTGGTCGTCCTGCCATTTTGAACAAAATGATCCCACTAAAAGCAATACAGCAAAACGAGTCCGTCTTATTATATATAATCACTAGCCCCCACCCTCATTTTACTCAGCGCAAATCAGTCACCATTAATAAGGGCATTTGCATACGAAAAAAGGGGAGGGGAGCTCAAATTAGAGCTGACAATGTATTTGCAGCCTTCAGTATGAGATGACTATCAATAAAAGATCCGATTTCCCCCATTCCTGCAACGTCACAAATATTTTTTTACAAAGTGGACACGTGATCACACATTGGCACATATTTGTGGATTTGTGGACCCCCCCCCCCACTTTTTTTCCGCTTCACTCCAGGACAATGATGACGCGTGTGTCCGCTGCCTTAGTCGGTGATCCACTTCTAATCCCCTCCCCCCCCAGACTTCAAAGGACATCCCGTATATCCTGAGCGCTCTGAGAGGAAAAAAGGGGTGGGGAAGGGGACGCTCGTGCGTAATGAACAATCTAGTATTTCATTCTTTTTTGTGAACATGTCTACAGTTTAAAAATTTTGTTTATCATACTAACCTATAGGTGGTTAAAAATCTGGCCATAGGGTGAAAAAAAAATACAAGACAAATGGGGCTAAGTAAATTTAGATTGGGGATGTTTAAACTTAAAGATGATTTAGAAATCAAATAAAAAGAAAAAAAGGGGATTTAAAATTCAGCATTAGTTAACTATGACTGCCTGTATTTAATTAATAAAGAATACACGTACGTTTGCATGATAAAGTACGAAATTCGTTAAGAAATAAAATACGCACCTGAACTCCACTTTTACCAAAATTACTGTTCTGTAACTGTAGACTGTAGAAATGTAGGTGTAGTAAGTAAAGAGTGAAAGAGTGTAAGTCGTCAAGTAACGAAACTACCTAAAAAATGTAGACTAAACAAAATTAAACACTAATTAAATTCCTTTTAAATTAATTGTTAGTTTATTTATTTGGTAAATATTTAAGCAAAAAAAAAGTTTAAAATACAAATCACCAAAATATAAGCAAACCATCAATCAACTCTCATCTATTTGTATTGACGTCATTAAAGGGGCAAGGCGGAAGTAAGAAGTGGCATTGAAAAATTTCGTTTTTTTCCTGTTTCAATAAGTAATATGATACGTTCAATCAAACACAAAACATACTATATAATATAAGAGATTATTAGCTAGTAGGCCCCATATTTCAAAATAATAATAAAAATAATACGTGTAAACAAGAAGACATTACTTTTTATTATACAAAAGATTTTTTTTTAATATTTAAATTGCGATAAATCATGTGTCATTTAAACGAATTATCTTTAATTGTGAACTTAATAAATATAAATTATTTAATTTCAATGCATTATTAAATCGTAAAAAGTAATTTATTTAATTTCTTAATCATTTCCCTGGGTTTCGCTTACTACGGGAAAATTGGATAAAAATAACTCTCAACCGTGGATTTAGAAATATCACGGGATAAAATTAATCCAATTAAAATATAGGTAAAACTGAATTAATCTATACAATCGTTTTTTAAATTTTAAATTGCCTTGTTGTTGTAGTCTATAAATAAATGAAACACGTTTATGTCACTTAAGGGACTAGTGACGTGTAACTAGTTGCTTCATTTGTGTCTGCTTAGCCCTCATCCCCCTCATCCTCGGTCCTTGGACCGTTGGGGCGCCACAGATGACATGTGGAACCATCCTCCGCCATTCCTCTCTGTCTTCTGCACTACGCACTGCATCGCCAAGTGCTAGTCCTGACCACTCTTTGATGTTATCCTCCCATCTTTTTCGTTGTCTTCCTCTTCTTCTCCCTCCTCTTGTGGTGCCCTGCAATATTTCTTTGGCAAGCCCTTGTTTCCTTGTTACGTGGCCGTACCTTAGCTCTAGTAATAGATAAAAAGCTAATCTCAGTTTAATCTATTTGTTACCCAAATGTTGGATATGACGACAAAGCAATGTCTCTTAGCAACTTGTAAAAGTAACAAAGGTTGACATTGGAAGTAAAAAAATATAATACATGATATAAAAGTAGTTTGAGTCATACAAAGACTGGTATAATAAGTTTCTAGAGCACAGGTTCCCAGCCCATGAGATATGAACTCTAATGGAGCTGCGAGGGGATTTTTGTGGACATTATGGGGTCGCCGGCACAGACAACAGACTCAGGGAAATAGTGATTTTTAAAGGTTTTTTAAAATTGTTTTTTTTTAATGTTGTCTTATAATTAAGAGTTACAATTTCAATCATTGCTTCTAGTTTTAATTTGTTTTCATTTCCAAGAATTTACCCTCTTTTTTTCCGTTTTTAGAGAAGAAAAAAAAATATTCCTTAAGGGTCCCTTTGCTTCAATATAAATGTGGCCCTGACTTAAAAATTCTTAGGAACCTCTGTACTAGAGCCACTGAGCTTAATAATTCAGTGCAATTAACTAGATTATATTATAGGTCCTGGCGACAGTTTAAAAAAAAATCAAAAAAAAAAAAAAAATCAAAAACTTGAAGAAAAAAAAAAAGGGGGGGAAAAAAAAAATCAGTGACTTGATGAAATAAAAAAAGGGGGGGAAAAAAAAAAGGGGGGGGGAAATAAGAAAGAAAACAGTTTCTAAAAGTGTTCTCGGAATGTTCCGAGATGGGAACATTTCAGAGGACGTCTTTTGTTTACTAAAAATCATGCAGGATCCTGGATGCCGTTAAAAAAAACAACTCTTAAATTAAAAAGGGGCTTACGTCAGGTCATTGCAAGCAGTGGTATCTTCTCATGCAGAGTGACTTGAATGGGGTGGGACACAATCTTCAGTGTACTTTAAATGACGTTAGAAAAATGAATTGAGAAGGCATTTGACATTTTAAAATGAATACTACGCCAAACAATCAAAAATAAACAGGAGGGGGAAAAAAGCAACACTTTTAAAGGTTAAACTGAATTGCTTGACAAGAATTTCTGCCCACGGGACATAAACAAAGAACCGTTGTCACACACGGACGTATGAAGGGGGGTTGGCGGAAGGGATCGTCAACCCCGGGTGCCAGAAACAGGGGGCGCCAAAATAGTAAATGGCCACAGTCTGGTCACTGCATGTATAATCGTATCGCAACAGAAGTCATTTTTTTTCCCACCGGTGGTTGTATACATATTCCATGCCACGCCCAATACGGACGATTATAATAATAATGCATTTAATAAATTTAAAGACATGGGGTGTTTGGATAACCGGTTTTTCGGATAATCGGCGTTCGTAAAATCAACTCTCAACTGTATACAACATGCCCATATCATAGATCTATTTTTTTTTTTTTTTTGTCGCAGCTTTTCATTGACACGGCCCCGTTAATCCTTCATTGGCGGATTGTCTTTGGTCAGAGGATTCTATCTGGATCCCACACAGGTATTCGGTCATGAAAACTTCCAGCTTCCTTTTGGTGTGGAAAGCCAGGTTGCTAGATCTCCACAATAAAAGTCAACTTTCCAATGGCCGATTTGTCTTGCAGGTCCTTACGTGTTAGTCGGTCACCGTCAGTTGTGAGCAATTTAGTTTGTCTTAGCATCCTGTGTAATCTGTCTTATATATATTGAGTGAGCATGACTGAGAAATGAATCGTTGAATTCTGACAGTACGAGTTTTTCCAGACATTTTATGAAATTTTAAAATATTTACAAAAATATTTAAGATAAGATTAAGACGTGAGCTTTTTACATTAAAAAAAAATAAATATTGATTAATGTGTAAGAATAAATTAAAAAGTTGAATCAACCGAGATTCAAAGTCTAAACGGGTGAATATCATTATTTATTATACCAAAACACCAGCTATTGACTGAACTTCTGAAGTAAGTTTTAAAATGTGATGATGTGCTGAAGACCCATAGTAAGGGAAACAACTATCAACTTTAGAATTAAGTAGCCGGCGAGCACTGATCCTTTAAGATTACACGGGTTATCGTTCTTTACAAGCTATTACTCCACAACGTTCCCTGTTGGTGCACCTCACCGCTATCGCTTACGCCATCTGCACTAATTATCCTGGAATTATGTCAGTCTCTCTACTAAGCCCATCTATCACCCTAAAAATCTGAAATCCATGATTTCTAAAATGTTCAAATAAATAGGCTTTAAAAATATATTACCACAATATTTGGCCATTATCATCACATTGTTCAGTGTCTTCCAAAATAACTCTCTATAAATCACAATAATATGTAGTGCAGTGATTTCTTTGTAGTCCACCCTGCGTGTGACGTAATTTGTGAAAACACTTATTTCGTGGGGCTGAATAAAAGAGCTGCACTTGCGAGTAAAAAAGAAGTGGGTGCCTATGATATTTGATGCAACAAAACAGCGAACGTGTTTTTGTCTGTAAGAAGACAGCGAACATACAAACACTAACAAATAAAATAAAACTGAGCTGAAATATTGTATCTGAGGGGACAACAAAAGGATTGTTTACAGAGGACATAGTATTTATGAATCTTTTTTACACAGAATAATAAGTAGATTAGCGAAACTTGACCTCACCCAGTGATTAAATAATAAAAAGTAAACAAAACAATTTGACTAAAAAAAGACTAGATTGACAAATTATGTGACAAACTCTTGTGCTATATTGAATCTGTTTATTATGGGTCTGTAAATTATGTTTAATTCAAAAATATTCACTGGAAGTGAAGTGTTCATCCAAAGTTACGACTGGCATCAATCTTTCACCATCATCGTTTCCTGGAAGGATAATTGCAGACAGATCAACTTCATCTTCATCTAGCTACTCAACATCCTCTGAAAGTGCATTTTCTCTTCTGGCAATAACTGCCATGGTTCTGTTTGCCTTCTAGCAGCGATTCTCAAAGGACTGATGCGTGTTATCTGAGTTGAGTCTGGAACAGTTTGGGTAGGCACACTCTCCCGAGCCCGAGCTCTGTGTTGTCCTGCATGTTTCTTCGACATTTTTTATGAGGCAAAGTATAATTGACATAATTTGCAAATTCAATCAAGTAAGCTGGTCTGCAAAGATGGACAATAAAGATCATATGGTTGTACTTTGAAAATTCCTGTTGATCTCGGCAAGGCTATACATAAACAAGGCTTCGTAACAGCATACTAGCGCTTAGCGAGAGGTATCGTGAACAACACATACAGGAGTTACACATTTCATGCTATTTTGACATAAAACTAATTCAAATGTTTCACAAAAGTTTTAAAAATGATTTTTAAAGCTATTAAATACTACTAAAAAAATAAAAAATAAATTAGAAATAAATTGTTAAAAAATTAATGTGTGATGTCACACATGGCCTGACCCCCCCCCCCCTGTCACAAACTGTCACACTTTCTTACACCCCCTCCCCCCCCCTCTGGAGCGTGATGTACTTTATGGACGGCCCCTTAATACATTATATTAAATTTACTGATATAAAAAGCCCATGGTTATAACATCAGTGTCCTCTTGCTGTCATCTTGGATACTACATTGAAGCAAAGTGTTTATTATTTTCATTTTATATTGATTTTATGGTTGTTTATTCACTGAAGTAGGCTTCTTGCCGACACATTCGCTGTTTTGTTTCTACCCTTTCGCTTATTTCCCTTTACCTAACCTGATTTCAGACTCTCCCTGATCCCTGTTTAAATTAACATTTTGCGGTGTATGCTAAGACTAAGAAAGGGAGAGAGTTGAGAGAGAGAGACTGACGCCCTTTTTAAGGAAATGGTAAAAGAGGTGGGATTTAAATTTTAAAAAGAAACCGCAAATTAGACATGTTTTGAATAGATACAATTTTTAAAATTTAATTAGTATTTGTAAAGTATAATTTCGTGCCAAACTCTTAGTCACAATTTCTATTATTTAGTTATTAGAAAATATCAACCTAAAAGGAATCGGAAAACGAATATGTCAATTTACAAAGATAACAACACTACAAAGGAATGTGAACGTGTATTTTGAAAAAAAACATAGAAATCTTGAAAATAACAAATTAATAGCAAGTAATAGAAAATGACGGATGGACCATCAGCATCCAAGAAATTGAAAACGGATGACTCCTCCCTTCCACAGTGTCCGTACGGTGCAGAATGTTATCGCAAAAATCCACAACATTTTAAAGAATTTGTACATCCGCCAAAAAGCCCAACTACAAGTTCAGCAAGCAGCACAACTGCTAGTGTTACTCACACTGATCCACACAGTGTTTCTGATGTTATAAACTTTTCAGCAAGTTCTCAAATGATATCGGAACTCCCTCTATGCAAATATGGTGCCAAATGTTACAGGAAAAATCTTCTGCATTTTGCGGAGTTTTCACATCCAACAAACAAGACAGCAAATGATGAAAATGGGAGTGACACAGATGTTTATGATTCCGAAGAGGAAAAGGTAATTTTTTTTCAACTATTATTATTTTCTTCCTCAAAGTTAATAAACGATATCAAGGCCAAGGTTTCAAGTCATTCATAGTATAGGCCTAATTGATAATTTCAACTTTTTGCTTTGTTAACTTTTTTTTGAATTAGAATCAGGGTTTTACAATAATAATTATAAAGTTTAGGCCTAATGCTAAATAATTTTTAAAATTAAATATTAAGTTCTTTATTTTTTTTTGCTTATTATATATATTATAGAAATATAGATTTTGCCATGACATGTTTACATGTTTATTTAAAAATCCTGCTTATTTGATAGGAAAAGACAGAGGTGAAAAAGGGTGACATATTATGCAAAGGATTGTCACTTGTGAAAAAGTTCTCACAAATGACAGATGATGAGCGTAAAGAACTGATCAAGACAGCGTTTGAAGAAAAACTCCGACTACAGCAGGAGCTTGAAAATGCTAAAAAGATAGTAGCTGAGAAAGACAAGGAGCTTAGCAATTTGCAAAAAAAGGTGTTTTTTTTAAATTAAATGGATAATGAACCACTAGGCCTATATTAAATGTTAAGCTAGAAATAACAATTCAAAGGCTGGATGTGCATATATGTGAAGTTAAGTGATTGTTGAGAGATGAGAATCACTGTGTATTGTGTCAACTTGTTGCCAGCATGATTTGAGCACACAAGTTGTATATTTATGGCTAACTGTCAGTGGTTGAAAGTCAAATAACAATAAACATGTGTGTATGTATTTATTGTGTAAATTCAAGAGGCAAGTTAGTACTCATTGCGCAAGTCTCCGTACATCAGTGTTGCAGAGTGTTAGAGATGTTTCATGTTGCTTTGTCCAGTGTTCCCATAGGTCAGGCAAGTGGATGTTTGTTAAAGTTCAAATTATTCCTTGTGGTTATCAAGTATACAGATTCGTATTTGTAATTTTATGTGGCAATACACTTTATGCTGCTTTAAAGAAAAACTGAATTTTATAAAACTATGTTGTTGCTGCCTTATGGCATCATTTGCATAACTCTTAGTGATAAGAGTGTGTTGATCCCCTAGACAACTGTGCCAGAAGAAGAAGAGAAGTAATAGTTAAGGGTAAGTCAATAGGAACCAGAAACGAGTCATTTGTATCTGTCCTAAGGACCTACCTAATTTTATTTAAAATGTTTCATTTAGACTAATTTGTTAGTATTTGTTGAATGGTGTAATAATTAAAATACTATAGACTGCTTAGAATAAAACAATATAAAATTTGATATGGAAAATGCTTTCACTTACAATTTTAATGATGTCTCTTGCCTTAATATATTATATTAATGGGTATTTTTCTTCAAGATTCAAAGTCATGCAATTGAATTATTAACATAAAATCTCAATGTGAGAGACAGAATGATAAACCTGATTTAATAATTCTCCCACAATGCAGCTCAACAATGGTTTGCTTCTTCTGGAAGGAGAGGCAGAAGCTTTAAAGCTAGAAACCACAACATATTTCTCACTTCTGCCAGAGAGAGCATACAAGGAAGGCTCAGCTAGCCAGACACATTTTAGACTAGCAGAGTCTCAATTCTACCGACTGCTTACTGGAGATGTGACACCCACGTAAGTAATATTGTCATAGGCAATGTGTCTCTTAACTTGTAAATAAATGGCTCGTAACCTCAATATCCGAAAAGACTCCACTGTTGCTGTAAACATCAATATGAATTAACTTTTTTGTAAAAAAGATTATTAGCATTTTATAAATGTTTAAAAAATATTAAAATCAGAGTTTTTGGGAAAAGAAGAAAAAAATTAATTGCTCAATCTTCTTTTAAATTAATAGAGAATGTAAATTAATTTATTAAAGTAATAATGTGTTGTTTTTTTTCTAAAATAACTATAGAATATTTTTATTTCAGAATAAGAGTTTTGAAAGTTGACTACGTAGTTTCACCTAAAGTTGTTAAAAAATTTCGGTAAGTCAATTATCTTATTTATTTCATATCACTCACAAATCACAAAAAAATATTTAGATTAAAATTGTTAAGATCATCTGTTTTATTGAAATTGATTTATTTATCCATTTCTCTATAAAATAATTGCAAATAATGCCATTTAAATAAAATTTCAGAGAATTCCAGAAAAAGTTAAAGACATCAAGAGGGGAAGAGTTCTCTTATCCTATTCTGGGTTTCCACGGAACAGATCAGAAAAATATTCGCCCCATTTGTGAGAATGGTTTCAAGGCCCCAGGTACTTGATATTTAAAAAAATTCTGTTAACTTAAATTTTATCATTTTAAAATTTATACCTGTTTTAGTTTTAGAAAGCCATTGCTTTCCAGTTCTAATCAATTTATGTGGTGTTTTATTTTATTCACTTTGTACTTATAATTTTTTTTAAATATATAGACATTTCAAATACAAGTTCATGAAAATGATCAGTATGAAGTGACTGGTACAAGCAACTATAACGAAAAAAGTGCTGATAAAAAAATAATTACTTTTCTAAAATTTCATTTTGGGTGAATAATAGAATACCCTGTGAAATTTTAAAGCTTTTTTGAACCAAGGAAGTTGTATTTTTAGATGGGAAAAATATAATTAACTTTTGAAAAATAAATATTTTACTCATGTTTAATTTTCCCTAATTAACTTTTGAAAAATAAATATTTTACTCATGTTTAATTTTCCCTAAAGGTGAGAAAGGGTTCAAGCATAAAACTGATTCTGGCTGGTATGGGGCTGGTGTCTACTTTAGTGAGTTTACTTATTACTCAATGGCATATATAACTGGCTGCTCAGAACTGATGCTGTGCCAAGTGTTGCCAGGGAAAGTAAGTCTTGTTTTTTAATGTATTTTTTCCTTTCACACTTTTATTATTAAAAATTAATTTTGCACAAAATAAATTTTCAACCAAGTAAGACGTTAATGAGTTAAAATGTCATGATCATTTGTTCCTTAATGGTTCTAATGTTATAAATTGTCTAAAACACTTTAGGTGTTTTTGGGGTTTTTTTTTTACATCTTTGTTTTGAAAAAAGGACATAAAACCTATTGAATTTATTCCAGAGACTGTAACTATAAAGGTATTAGTAAGCAGAAAGTATATTTTTTGAAAACCTGAAGAAGAAAAAATGCATTAAAAAAATTTGATATGTTTTATGCTTCCTGTAATTCATTTTACTGTAAGCATTTTGATTGGCATACACATATGGACCTATGCTCACGAAAGGTTTGCTGTATCAAACAACACAACACATTCAACATTTTGTTAGCAATTATATTTTAGTATGGACATAACATGAAACTGCTATAACATCAGCTTCTCACATGAAGAGTCCTTGTTGATTATTATCTCCCTTAGAATAAATAAATGGTTTTCAATTGATGTAATCCTTGTCAAGATTCAGCTAAAAATTTAAATAAATGAAGAAAAAAAACTTAATCTGTCTGAAATATGAAACAGTTTCATCCCCCAGAAATCATTGATACATGTATTCTATTTGGTTGCCAGGTGTTTGAATGCCCATCACTTATCCACGGAGCTACGCTGCAAACTGGCTATGACTCACATATGTCCCCATGCAAAAAAGAGCTGGTCATTTTCAACACAGCGGCCATTCTGCCATGTTACATCATCTACTTTGGTGATGCCAAGGGAGCTTTCAAGTATGGGGATGGGGGAGAGCTGGTGAGATGTTTGCATTCAATGTCCTTATAATCTTCTGATTATTATTTGGGGGCCTTCCAAAAATGAAGTCATGCACCTAAAAATGAGGTGAGGTTGGGGGGGGGGAGGGGGGGAGTTGACCAATTTGTGGCAATGTATTATGAGGCTGTGTAGGAAAATTTGTGATGATGGAATGTGGGTGGATGGGCATAAAAATTGTTTACCTTATAATCTTCTGATTATTATTTGGGGGCCTTCCAAAAATGAAGTCATGCACCTAAAAATGAGGTGAGGTTGGGGGGGGGGGAGGGGGGGAGTTCACCAATTTGTGGCAATGTATTATGAGGCTGTGTAGGAAAATTTGTGATGATGGCAAGTGGGAGGATGGGCATAAAAATTGTTTTAAAAAAAAAGAATTATTTGTGAATGGCCCCTTACTTGTGTCTAATTTATTGTTTTAAATAAGAAAAATGTTATAATGTAATGCATCAGTTTATACTTGTGTTATAAGGGGGTGATGACCTTTTGATTTTGGCCCAATAAAACAGTAGTGATAAACATTGTTAAAGATTGCAAGAAAGATTGGCATTATTTATTTGTAGTAACTCCCCTGGCATGTCCAAATAAGTTTTAGAACAACATCCCAGTGATGACTTGGCATTTTTAAGTTATTACAATACAAGTTGCTTCTTTGGCATCCTTCATAACATGATAAGCTCCAAGCTATGCAGCTCTGAGTAATTCACTACTGGTCCACTTTGATACAGTGACTGTAGCTCATCACTTCTGACTTTTGAAGAACTAATTTGGTTCGTTTACCATTTCTTCATATTTATATTGAAATTTTTTTCAAGCCTACAAGAAATACTTTTCTTAAAGCTAGGCCCAGTACGGCAGACATAAACGCCGGAATTATTTTAACTTGTAATCATGTATTGGATTGGTGATCCAAGCCAAACCAATTACAAAACTTGCTGTTGTGGGGAATAATAATTTCCTGAATAACATATTTAGCACCTTTACTCTATTTATCAGCTCTTATGAGAGGTTTTCCACACAGAAGAAAAAATGTAGGAGTTGATAAGATTTTAATATATTACTTTGTTTAATTCAGGCTACATGTGATCAGTTGTACAGTGATGCCCTGCTCAAGCCATCCAGCAAGTAAGTGAAACTTTTGTGGCTACACTTAAATTTATATAGGAGGATCTTCTTGGAAGACTTACACTGTTAAATCACTGTTATCAAACCTTAACATTATCAAGCTTAAGGCTCCGACAAAGGGAGGGGGGGGGACAGAAATAAGTAGTGGTTTCCTTTGCGTGTCATATCCTTCGACTGTCAAGAAAAAAAGTGATATAACAAACATTTTAAAAAAATGTTCTTTTTTTATTTCTACAGAGTATTCACGGGAATGAAATTTACTCTGTTGGGCAAAATGGCTGACACCCATGGAAATTTATTTAAATTGATTTTGCAGCACGGAGGAAAGAAGGGTATTTCTATATTCACCTGTATAAAAAAACAACAACAATGTCGATGAATGAAAAGTCTGAAATATTATTAGAAATAAACACAAAAATAATTTTAAATTAAGCATTAATTAACTTTAATTAAACATTAAATACTTTTAATTAAATATTAAATAATTGCTGAGATTTAATTATTGTATGTAAAATATCAAGTATTAAAAGGAATCTTAAAAGTCATTTAATCAAAGAATAGTGAATCTCTTAAATACATTATAAATTAAAAGTAACTAAATTTACTTTCATGAAACATAATGTGACATGTGTACTGTGTACATTCCAGTGATAAGAAACTTAGAGGCAGCAAAATTATATTTTTCTTGTATTTTCTGCCTTAGCAACGAAGGCGACTTTCACTGTCCTGGTAACGACCAAAGAAGATGGCGCTGTGGTCTCAGATGCTAAAAATAGATATGTAAGTGTTGTATGCACTCTGTATTGTACTTCTATGGCTTGGTATTAGTTTTAGTACAATACTTGTTGAGTACAATACTTTGTTCTACCCCATCTTCATTTTTTGGGTGTGGGCAAAGCAAAGACAGACAATTTACAATCCTGAGTTAAGTCAGGCATCAGACTCTGTGGCTTTTTTCTCATTACTTGTCTGAAGAGTGCACTCCACCTGACCTTAACAATAACAGACAAAATTGGACCGTCGATCACTTGGTCGTGTAGCAGAAATTAAATAAATTCTCTTGTAACTTGTAGAAGTGATCAAAGTTGCCAATTCAAAGTTGACCATTGATTGAGCTTAAAAGGTGTGCTGTTTGAAGTAATCCCGTTGCCAGCTGGTCATTCCCAAAGCCTCTGATCAGTTTTGAGGCTGATATCGTTCTCCTCATTTTAAAGTTTTTTATCTTCAAATGTTTCAATCAACTAGTGATAAAATTATCATTATATTTATTACATGCAGAGTTACCGGTGTCATTGTTGATTGTTTTCCACACACAAATATATATATTTTTATATATTTGTATAGTCTATATATAATCAGTTATAGTAGTTATTTCACTGTGCTTTTAGTCATCTGAAACTTATCATAAATGAACATAAGAGTCTTAGGCTAATTTAGTACATCAATTATGTATGTAATTTATTCAGCCTTGCTTTTGATTTTCCAGAGCCAAATATTTAAACATTTAAAAAAATTTTTTTTTTTTTTTTTTTTTCTTCTTACAGATTCCCGTTATTCGAGAGGCTTACATTTAAAAATGTATTCTCCAAAACAAAAAGCTGCTCTTCAAAAACTTTTATTAGTACATCAATTATGTATGTAATTTATTCAGCCTTGCTTTTGATTTTCCAGAGCCAAATATTTAAACATTTAAAAAAATTTTTTTTTTTTTTTTTTTTACTTCTTACAGATTCCCGTTGTTCGAGAGGCTTACATCTACAAATGTATTCTCCAAAACAAGAAGCTGCTCTTCAAAGACTTTTCGCTGTAATAAATTATCTGTGCCTGGGCCAGGACAAATGGGCATTCATTTTGCAGCTAGTATGTTAATTTAGACAAAACATTTATACGGGGTATATGTACCTAGTCTGGATTTTCTTTTCATATATTATAGATCTCTAATTATTCAAATTATTCAGGCTTTTATCAATTTTCATCATTTTTAAATTATTTCTTTTTCTTTAACAATTTATAGATCACATAATAAAAAATTCATTACAAAAAATTGCTCATATATTTTGTAAAAATTAAACTATTTAATTGACTTTTATACATTCCTGCCATATTTTTGATTTACAAATCAAAGCTCCAGCTGCTGTGATATTTGGCTTATTATTATATCATGTAGTTTTAATCTCTCTCATTCTTTTGCAAAAAGCATGATTTTGCTAAGGTATTGAAATAATATTTTTAAACAAAATTTCAAGTGCCAAGAAGTAAGTACTTGGGAAAATCCTGTTAAATTAGAATGACAGGCTGTTAAATTAGAATGACAGGCTTTTAAATTAGAATGACAGGCTAAACATTTGTTTATAGAAAAATTTCTAAAAATAAAAGAGCACTGTCAATAATAATTTTAAAAAAATGTATTCTCCTAATCAGCTGGGTGATATCTGCTACAGAGCATGAACATGGGAAGTAACTTTGGTTGTGATTATGTTGTTTTACTCATTTCTATGCAGAGTGATGTCAATAAAAGTCCTTAATGGATATGAGATATTTCCCTAAGACAGACAAAACTATATTGTGATAACCTTATTTAGATCTCATAAAATATGTAACTGTGCATGTTCGGTAAAAAATAAAATGTAATTTTTACATTTCTTCTTTTTGCCTACGTGATAATCTTATGCAAGGGTGCGTTTTGAACTTTTTACTACTATTGATTTTTATATTTTGCCTATTTACACTAATACAGGGCTAGTCTGTACCACCTGTATCAATAATAACAACTTAACCTGTACTTCTGTACCAGGTGTATTATTTGTAACATCTTTTCTTGTATTTCTGTACACCTGTACCACCTTTACCCATATTTCTGTACCACCTTTAATTTTCTACCACCTGTATTTCTGTAGTAACTGATAATCCGTACCACTTGTACTTAATACCACATGTACTACCTGTACTTTTGTACTACCTGCGATTCTGTACATCCTGTACCACCTGTACTTATGTACTACCTGTACTTATGTACCATCTGTACTTCTGTACCACCTGTACTTCTGTACCACCTGTACTACTTTACCACCTGTATTTAAGCACCACCTGTTCTTCTTACCATCTGTACTTTTTTACACCATGTACTTCTGTACCACCTGTACACCTGTACCACATGTACTGCTGTACCTTCTGCACTTCTTTACCCCCTGTAAATCTGTATGTCCTGTACTTCTGTACCCCTCTACATCTGTACCACCTGTACTTCTGTACCCACTGTGCTCCTGTACCCCCTTTACATCTGTACCACCTGTACTTTTGGACCACCTGTACTTCTGGGCCACCTGCACTATGTGTACCATTTCTACTTCTTTGTCCATTATCACCTCAGCCGTGTAATTCATCTAAAGTTGATTAAAGTAACAAACTTAAATTGACATTGTTTACGCCCGGTAATTGTCATCAATGTCACTTTCTTGTAACCAACTATTTAAGTAAAGTCTTGATGACAAAATATAAGTGGCATTAATAGAGGATTAAAAAGTTTTAAAATTTACGATAAATGCTTTGAGTTATGTTGTTTTAACATATTAATTCAAAACTCGCTTTCTGACGGTTCTCTCTACAAGGATGTTGGGACCTCGTGGAACAAAATAAAGTTGTGAACGGGTTATCGTATATCATACTAAGCTTTTAAAAAACCTTTTCTTCTGCGCTAACACGGCAGTGGGTTGAGGGGGGGGGGGGATGTAGATGGATAACTTCAACCTTGTAAATTTCGCCATGGCAAAGTTGAGACCAGGTGGTAATGCACAACACTGCCTGCATGCACTGTTTCTGTCACTGTTCAAAGTCGGCTGCGATAGAAAAGCTTTATAATTTGATACCCGTTTTTCCTAATGAATTTTGGAATAATTCGTTGCAATTGGTATGTGTTAACAATTAACATTGTCTTCTGAATTGTGATATAATTAAAAGGGGAGGGAAAAAAAATTCAAATGCTCCAGTCGCAACCAAATCAGTAACCCAGTCAGGAAAAGAAAATAGATTTCATCCATGACGGAATGTATGTGGTTTGGCCGGGGAAGTGGGGGAGGGGGGGTGTCCAATAAAAGGCGCGAGTGTGAAATATTTGAAATGAATTTCGCAGAAAGACAAAAATGAATAATGCACAGGTGCCAGCCTCGACCTGCCCAGCTGTCTAGACCAGAGGTTCTAAACTTGTTAAAGTTGACGGGCCGGAAGAATTTCATCCACACTGCAGAATCAGCTCGCGCTAAATAGATGGCTTTTATTTAAATTTTAATAAACGTCATCTAAAAATATTTAGGCCTACCGATTCGTGGATCGGTTACAGAGGGCTGTTGGAGCAGTGCCGGCCCGTGGCCCGCTGCTTTGAGAAGCACTGGTCTAGACCGCCGAATGTGCATGCAAGTGTCAAGGTCTCGTCATTCCATGCCGTTGTTTAATCCCATAAAATTAAATTCTCAAACAAGGAGCTGTGACAACAAGAGCTCGGGGTTTGATTTGAACTGGTGTGACACTGGAGCGCCGCGTGCTGTGTGCTAACACGTGCATAAACACACACACACACACAAGCAGACGGATAAACAGACACAGAAATGTGATGTCGCGTGCGCGAATCAACAACATTTTCCCGGCATGCATCTTATGCTGGATTGCTGACGCTGTCGAAATTGTTTCAGCCGCAAACAACATTTTTTTTTTTTTTTAAACTTCAAAAAAAAATTTCTTAGAGATTTGTTATTGGTTTTCTTTCCTTGTCAAAATCATCGCACATTTTAAAGCCTTATAATTCAAGCATGAAATTATCCATATAACATTTATTAAAAATATGTAATATGCTTACCTACTGTCGAAATTGTTTCAGCCGCAAACAACATTTTTTTTTTTTTTTAAACTTCAAAAAAAAATTTCTTAGAGATTTGTTATTGGATTTTTTTCCCTGTCAAAATCATCGCACATTTTAAAGCCTTAGAATTCAAGCATGAACTTATCCATATAACATATATTAAAAATATGACATATGCTTACCTTCTACGACAGCTGAACTTAAAGAAAAAGGAGAGGGGTGGGGGGAGAAAAAAGGTCTTTTTTTTTCCTAGAATTTTTATTTCTGTCATTATTTTCGTCCAATCCACATTTCTTAAGACTACTTCTATTTCCAGGCTCTTTTCGTTTCCTGCCGGTCCATTATTTCTTGCTAACCACACTCCCCAAACTGTTCCACTGTCCATCTCTTATTTCTAATGCCCTGGGGACCCATGTGAAAGATTGTGTCTCGAGAAAGTTGTTCTCCATATGGCCCCTATCTATCTCTGTGTTTAGTTCCCATTAAAACTATTGGAGTTAGTTTTATGGAGATGTGATCAGTTCTAGCATAGCCTCAACAATGATCATTTTTAGCAGCATAGCCTCAACAATGATCAGTTCTAACATAGCCCCAAAAATAATCATTTGTTACATAGCCTCAACAATGATCAGTTCTAACATAGCCTCAACGATGTTTGGTTCTAACATAGCCTCAACAATGCTCAGTTCTAACATAGCCTCAACAATGTTTGGTTCTAACATAGCCTCAACAATGATCAGTTCTCCTGATCAGCTGGGTCATATCTGATACAGAGCATGAACATGGGAAGTAAGCTTCCGTGCATGGCTTAATAATCAGACATGCCTTATTGCTCCATAATCAGACATACCTTATTGATCCATAATCAGACATAACTTATTGCTCCATAATCAAAAATGCCTTATTGCTCCATAATCAGACATACCTTATTGCTCCATAATCAAAAATGCCTTATTGCTCCATAATCAGACATAGCTTATTTATCCATAATCAGACATGCCTTATTGCTCCATAATCAGACATACCTTATTGCTCCAAAATCAGACACGTTACAGTGCTCAATAATCAGACATGTCATATTTTTTAATAATCAGACATGTTCTATTGCTCCATAATCAGACATGTTATATTTCTCAATAATCAGATACGTTATATTGCCCCATGATCAGACATGTTATATTGCTCCATAATCGCAGACATGTTACATTGCTCAATAATCAGACATTTTATATTGCTTCATAATCAGACCTGTTATATTGCTCTGAATAATTAGACAAAGAAGCTTCAGTAATGACCCAGAGGGAGAGAGAGAAGTGTGGGGCAGGGGGGGATAAGGAGAGAGAGAGAGAGGACTGGGGAGAACTCATCCCGACTGACGGATTAGCCGTGGTCAAATAGAAGTCTCATGTCGAAATCCACCGGAGATGGTGGGATTAGATGGAAAGTTCATGTTGCTGGACTACGGTATCGGAAATCCCACAAGTCATGTGACTTGACAAATGACGCTGTTGTTAGGCTCGCGTAATTAAAACATAAAATGTAACGGAAGAATAATTAAAACATAAAATGTAATGGAACAATAAATAAAACATAAAATGTAATGGAACAATAACTAAAACATAAAATGTAACGGAACAATAATTAAAAGATAAAATGTAATGGAACAATAATTAAAACACCGAAACCAAAAATAAAACACTGGATACAAATAATTAGAATATAATTTAATGACATCGCGGGGATATGGTAGATACGTGAAAATATTTTTTTTCGGATAGCTAATTTACCCACTTTCCGTCAGCCTATCCAGCTAAAACTTGACACATGGACTCGCCGATGACAACACATTCTTTCAAATTTTCAGCTGCTCCCCCCCCCCCCCCCCCCC